AGCGCAGTATGGAGATATACTGCAGCAAATGTTCACACGTCATGCATCCTATAGAGTTCATTCTATCTTGTATGCATAGTTCTCTCAAAGCTTCAGTAGCAGCAGGATCAGAATGAAAAAAATAAAAGCAGGACCATTTTTGGTTGAGTCTAGCACCGATTGCCATCTTTTTGGTTAATACTAATATTTGAAAATATTATTGGTCTTAATCAGACCTAGACATAAAGCTCTACTTTCTGTTTATATACTGTATACTCACTAATCAGGCTTCAACTCCTATATTACATGTATGGATATGGCTAACAGTGAGATAATGATATATATTTGTTCTGATACCGTCTAAAATGCAGGACAAGAGATAAAGATATTAATAGAAACCAGTTACATATCAGATATAAACTGCCAAAACACAAAAATGTGTTAATTGCCATAGTCACATATGACACTAATGCAACTAGAATGGGGTTTGAAGCAACATTACAACTTGATGTTGTGCTTTTTTTATGTGCTTATTAAAAAAAAAAAATCAGAGAAGGTGCTATTAGTGCACATTAAATGTGCCACGATTCAGTTTAACAGTTTAATGACCGCTGCGCTCATGCTGATTAGGCGCTTGATTATTGAGCTGTTTTGCATATTTACAGAGCACGATCAAGCAGCATCACCTTCGCTGGTTCACTCCAGGTAACATGCCACATTTTTTATTCTGAAAATAGGAAATGAATTGAGTGATAAAGGATGTCAGTGGTATCTCACACGCCTCTGTCCTCCACCGCCAAACACAATATTACGCTGTACAACGCACAAGAGCAGATGTCAAAGAAAAGTTACCTTTCAGCGAGAAAAAGGCTATTCCGCACAGAACGTGACAAACACAGAAACCAAGATTTTGATAAACTGTGCCCAAAATCTTCCTTGAACACACTGAATAGTCTGAGTCGGCCAGCTCAAAATTGCAGTATATCAGTCAGCATAACGTGCACAGGTTAACACATTCTGAATTGCTGGAACAAATAACCTGTCAAAACCTGACACCGACATGAAATTGCCTGAAATGGTGAATTAAACTGCTACAATAGGATGTGCATTATGTTGTGAGACACCAGTGTTTATTTTTCATTACCTTCTTAGTGGCCATGGATCAAAAAGAAACAAACCCACACTGAATAGTGACACAGTAATCTAACGGGACAAGACCTGAATTTTGACTGCTTGTGTTTTGTTCACAGACTCCCAGACAAATGACACTTTGGCTTTGAGTCATACTTAATTTCCTGTTGCCCTCTCCTTTCTCTATTTTCCACCATCTCTAAAGGCCTCTGACACTCAGTCTCTCTTGTGCTTTATCACAGCGTGCATGGCCTTATTCTACCTTCCCAAATTGCTGTTTAATAGAAGCTTTCCTCCATGGCAAACAGCGATATGCTAATCATTAAGGAATTGATCACCATTTAGCCATTTTGTGTGGCAATAGAGTCCCTAATTTTGCCCTCATGCATTTGGGTGGTAATGTGTGTAATTTTAGATGAGGTCAGACGACTGGCTTGCTACCTCCAAGCTGATTGGCCTCACAGAAGGTGGTTGATTAATGCAGAGCGCCTGCTTTGTCAATGAAATATATTTGAATGGATCATTTAATTTTGAGCAGATCTTCATCCTCGTAAGTGGTTTTGTTTTATCTCTGGGCATTCGCTGTGCCCAGAGATGTGTAATTGACCTTCTGTTGTGGCACATGAGTCTTAATATTATTATAACCATGTTTTTCAAGTTTTGTTATGCATTTCATGAAGTTGATTCAGACTGCAGGAATTCAGGAACAATAAAGACATGAAATAGGGAGGGCAGGTTGTGAATTGGTTAAGTTCAGAGTAAATCTCTAATGTCCAAGGAGAGGTATGTAATGAAAACTTTTTTAGCTAACTCTAAGTACAGAAAAAGGGATATGTCTAGTACTACAGGCACAGAAAATTGGACATTTGAAGCATTAGCATTAGCTGCTCTGTCTGTTGTGGCCCTTTAGATGCAACTGTTGAAGTCCCCAACTAACAAAGCTCTTCAGTAGTTATCAGTAAAACTGAGCTGTCCTCTTCTGCTGATTACTCTAGTATCTTATGACTATGAGATTGAAGTGTGTGCATGAGAGAGAGGCAGCCATGCCTGGTTGTTAAAGATGGATTTCCTCTACACTTTGATTGTGAGTCACTTCCTCTTGCTGTCACACATAAGTTTGCTCCACTTTACTGAGTCAAATGAAAGAGACTGCACTGTTTGTAACGTTAGTCGACCGTTAGATTAGCCAAGTGGAAATGTAATCCTCTGTTACAGGTGACCTTTCCTGCTACACAGCAGAGGTGTGTCCAAGACTGTGAGTGCGTGTTTCAAACTGAAAATGATCACATTGTTTTTCTTACATTTAAATGGACCTTCTGGAGAGGCTGTTTCTGTCCAGCTGCATCTGGAAGCCTCACACCTCCTACTATCAATGTGTGTATTATGTGTCTAAGTGTGTATTCTTGTCTTTTGCACAGATGTTCTTCAAATGGTAGGCAGCAAGCAGATTGCAGTGAAAGAAATGGCCACAGACCCACAATACACAAACACTAAAACCAGTCCAGGCTTTTAAATGGCCGTCCTAGCGGCTGACAGATTGCGGCTGACCCCTGATAGTGCTGTGTACTATTCTTCCATCAATCTTCTCTCTCACCCTTCCACGCTCTTCTTCTTCACTCTCCTCACCTTCTCTTTCAATCCATTTTTCACTGATATACACAACTATCACAGACTTACATAAATGACCAAACTCCACATCCAAACTCTCCACTGTGGTTTTTGTGTGGGAGTCACATCATGACAAGTAAGAGGATGCTGAGTGGTGCTCAGTGTCACCTTCTCCTCTGGTCTGAGCAGCCTATTCTTCACTTTGGTGCTCAAAGTGGAAAATTGCCTTTAATTGCTCCACTTTAGAGTTGGCCTGTGTGAGGGACTTAAAGGACAGTTACAGAAACTTTGGCTGACACATAATCGGTGACATGCATGGATTCTCGTCATACACGCACCGACTGTAAACTATAGAAGAGATCACGGACAGGATTTTGACGGTGCACAGTGATTTAACTCATACTAAAGCTCCAGTAAATGAAGGTGAAATACCCACTCTTGTTGAGTCAGTGTACACAAAAATCACTAGCTTTGACGATGAAAGGGATGGCAGGATCGATCCTATCGATGGTCGTGCTGTGACTATAAAGACTTGCCCTCAGCTGATGCTCAGCTACAGCAGGTGCGTGCTAATGACAGTCAGAGGGTCATTAAATCATTAGTCCTGTATTTACGTGTGCTTACTGCATCTTTGCGCCGGCTATATAAAGCTCAGTGATGTGAGCAGATGTTAATCAAACATCTCAAGACTTGCTGCTTATCTTAAGGCTGAGTATCAGACCTATTGTTAGATTTCAGTCTATTAACAAAAAATGGACTGTATTTTATATAGCGCTTTCTCACAGTGTGTCGCACTGGCCAAAGCGCTTTACAGAAGATCATACACCATTCACCCATAACACGACGACAGGCTGCCATACACCGGCGCTAGTCAAGCCACCGGGAGCAATTCGGGGTTCAGTGTCTGCTCAGGGACACTTAGGCATGCGAGGAGACCGGGGAGTCGAACCACCAACTTGCTGGTTAGGAGACGACTGCCCTACCTCATAAGCCACAGCCACCCCCCAAGGATAGAACAAGGACGTAGATCTTGGGCTGTGATACTGTAAATATTTACCTTACTGTGAATGTATATGAACAAGCTTTGTGGGTTTCAGTGCTACACAGATGCTGTATAATTTACTTTTGTATTCTGTTTGTATTTTTAGAAGCAAGCTAGTGTCTCACTTGTGGTTAATATTCACCAGATTTATCATTGCTGTGACACAGGGAAGCAGAAAAAGGAAAATTCCAAAAATAATGAAAGTTCAAACTGTTTTCGACAAAGTACTGATCTACAGGAACAAGCCAGAATTTTCAATTGAATGTTATCACAACAGACAAAAATAACTGTTATGTTTAGGGTGTGTATGTGCACAGTTTCTGTGTGTATTGTAGAATAACAGACTGATCAAGGTCATGCAAGAGGATCTCAGAGAGCCCTCAAGCAGAGACAAAAAGAAAAGGAGAGAAATGACGGGTGAGCTGGGAATTACAGACAGGTAGTTAGAATGCTTGTCACTGTAGGGCCTTTGGGCCTTCAGTTACAGTAGGTGTGTTTTCCATGGTGATCCTAATACAATCACAATGGAAATACTACATACTGCATTCTGTCTATAGACACTGCTTACCATAAAGTGCAATCAGTGGCACACGAATATTACTATATTATAAATAACAACAGAGATGTGGATTTCTGCAACTATATACTAGTCAAAAACAAACACTGTTATTGTTGTCATCCTATTTTGCCCTGAAAATCTGACTTCAGCTTGACTGACGTTTTAGCCAACTTTAAATTCTCTCATATGGTACAATGCCTGAGCTATCTACTTAGCTAGTTTTCTGAGTGTGTGCGCGTGTACACACGTTTTCTAATGCTTACACAGGCATGTGTGTCAGGAGTGCTCATTAAAATTGTAGGGGAGCTGATGATGTACTTGTGCTTCAGTGCTCCCATTGCCACAGAGTTCTCCACGTCTTGCCAGGTAATCAGGCGGGCAAACACATGTAGTCCTGCCTCCTCCACTAACAAGCTGAGTTTAAGGCTTTAAAAACAGTCATGGTAGCTAATTCAGCTTGTCATGTTCATGTTCGCTGCTGAACACTTTCTACAATAGAGCTATTCATTTCAGTTTTTTTGAGCACTTATTGAACTGATGGGATCTAAAAATGAATGCTAATATTATGTTTCTTTTCCTTTTTCTTTTGTCACCCCTCTAAATCTTCCCTGATTGTGCTTCCCCCTCCCCTCTTCTCTCCATGTTTTGTCCTCCCCTGTCTCCAACTATCCTCCTGCTTAGGGGAGCACCTGCGCATCTGTCCCCAGGGTTACACCTGCTGTACTAGTGACATGGAGGACAACCTAGCCACGCTGAGCCGTAGGGAGATGGAGGTATTTCTCAAAGAGACTGGACGATCCTTGCAGATCTCACTCAGTGGACATTACAAGTCCTTTGATGGTGAGTTTGTGTATTCTCAATAAGTATATAAGGTGAGTGAGAGAATGAATTTTGACACCATATGCAAGGACTCAGTTTTGATCAGCACATTGTTGCCAGTGGTGGTTTTTATCATTTTGCATGTTCGCTCTGGATATGCCCAGCCTCCAGATGTACACATACACAGGCTGACAGTAAGTGTAAGAGATAAGTTAAAGCACTTTTATGGTATAGTCTACAGACTGATGCAGAGCACTGATCTACTGTCATGCTTCAACAGAGAAAGTTGGTGATGTCTTGCAGTACTGTTGTCAGAACGGCAACGTTTTCTTTTTACTTAGTTACCAATACAGCTCTGGATATCATGGCTTGATTGCTATGTCAGACCCACAGAGAAGATTAAACTATAAAATAACCTGAATTTGAGGCATTCTTTTGGCATAGGGTTCAAGACGCTAAACATAGTGCCCTGTAGCCTTCTGAAGACAATAATAGTAATTACAAAAACAGGCCTAAATTATTTAACAACAAAAAATTCTTCTGCATCAAGACCTTCTGTTCAATGCTAAGGAAAACATAAGCACATTTTACAGGGTTTGGATTTGAGCGTTTGACAATATTGCACTAATTGTGACATTCACCATAACACAAAATTGTTCTGGCAAGAACATAGTTATCAGTAAAATGATATCATGATTTAGTTGCAATGTTCATGACCTGCTCCACTTAATCGAAGGGTATCTCTGTGCTTCACTGGTTCTCCTGGGCCATTTGGCAACCGTGGATCTGTCAGCTGGTGTTCTGAGCTCAGCTAGTTAGCCTGACCTTTTTAGATCGGAGTGATTAGTGGGTGACTGACATTTGTTTACTTTTCTTCTATCGCTCTGCATCCTTCTTATTCATCCTCCTTTTCACTCAGGGTGCTGTTGCAGGTGTGCTAAAGGGCTGCAGTCACACATACAAGTACACAGTAGTGTACAAACCTGTTCATGACATACACATTTTCTCTAAAATACAGTTGTATACCAGTATACAGTCTTCCTACAGTTGTTGAACTTTTCCATTCCTCAAGAAGACACCTCATTTAGCAAGGGCAAGCCACTAAACAACTCACAACACACTCAACAATGACCTCTAAGCATTCTAATGCTGTGCATCCAAAAATTCATAGATAAACACACATGTTGTGTCATGAATAGGCAACTTGTGTTGTCTTGCTATTAAGGCATTTGGAGTTTGTTTTTATTTATGTACTGTATGCGTGTCAGGCATGTTCTTCCAGCTTTCTTATGGCTGCTGTTGCTTTTAATGAGAAAATTAATTAGACTGTTCTTTTTCTTCACCTCAGCCACACCCGTAGATGCCCTCCTCTCCTCTCCTCTCCAAAGTAACTCTCTCCCACTGTTCAGCTCATATTGTTTCTCATGTCCCCTTATTTCACCCCTATAAGCTTCAGATGGGAACAGCAGAGCTGACAGAGGGAGGAGAAATCTATATGTGGTGGGACCTTGAGGTCTATAAACCATCTGTTGTTAACTGTGCCCCCTGAAGACTGGGGCTGAGTAATAGACTGGGGTTAATTGGATCATGATACTTTGCTGCCACATGATCAGTGCAATTTGGCAGAATCCGGCCATTCCTATTAAACACATCCTGTTTTAGGCTTCAGCTGTTGGGATGTGCAAAGCGAGATGACTTAATTCTGTTTCTGGAAAACAACTACCACTGAAATGAGCCATCATCAAATCTTATTACACGTTTAACTTTCATAATATGCAGTAAATGTATGTTATGTGAAGTTTGATATTTGTAATTAAAATACACTGTTTCCTAACCATGTCCAGAGCAGGGACTATTGTTCATATGACTGCAGGAGACTGCCGTGACATTGTACCATGCTGCCAGTCCCTGCACATCTGGCTGTGTTTAGTAGGGTGTGGGTTAGCTAGCGCCATGTGGCTAAGTGTAGGGTGTTACTGTTCCAGCCCAGTCAGCCTAGGACTTTTTAGGTCCAGGGACTCTGGAAGAAGCCCCGACCAAGCCACAGATTAGAGGACCAGTATGCTCACATACAGCTGGCTCTTGGCCTGACAGTGTGTACACTGTGTGTGTGTTTATATGCATATGGTTGTAATTTAGTGTGTGTCACTGTTTGTGACTTAAATGGACTCTGTTAACACTATGCATGTGTTTGTGCTCTGCACTTGGTATTCCTCATCTCTTCATCGTTCATACTGTGTAGAGAGGGACAAACTGCACAAACCATCATGTTAAACAAAAATGCAGCAAAGAATGCTGAGGAGGAAAAATTTAACTGACAGATTGGGTTGGGAGAGGACAAAGTAAAAATGAGACTGATGGAATGATAAAATATACAGATAAACAGGGGCAGAAAGTGCAAAGTATGGGTGAAGATAAGAGATAAATGGGTGGAAATGGAGAGTGGTAGCCAGAGAAAGACAGATGAGGTTATATATGAAAGTGATAGGGAGAAGGTCAGAAAGGACACAGTGATGGCACCAAAAGGGGCTGTGTGTAGGATGGTAACCAGGTGTGTTACACAGATGGAGGCCTTAAACCTGACAGGTGGTGTTTGGCTTAATGGTGCTATCCCTGGCATCTGGATTGTGTGCATGTGTTTTTTTGCACTGCTGCCACATATAGTATAACTTCATACATCCTAATTAGTACCAAGGTATATTAGCCTAGACTTATGCACTTAGATATGTCTATAAGAGAAAAGACCAAATTAACAAAAGACACTCTTCCCATTTAAAACTAACACCAGGCTTTTGTTTGCGTCTTGATTGAGGAAAAGTCCAATTTTGAAGGAGCTCTTTTAACTGGACAAAAATGACACAACTCTCTTCCCTCCTTCTAGTTGATTTTCTCAATCCTTTGTTGATGTTAAAGAAACAATTTAAAACTCAGTTCCTTTTTCAGTCTTTTATTGTGTTAAAGTCTAAAACTGTTTTAACAAATAGTGACTATGATAATGTAGGAGTTCTTGCTAAGTTGTTATATTGGACTCTGTTAGTTTTATAGCTGTTCATAATAAGCTGGAACTAATTATTTTCAGTCACACTGACTCTAGTGTTCTTTTGTTTTTACCTCCAAATCCAGGGTCGTTTTCACACATGAATTCAGTGTCTGAGGATTCAGGTTGCCTTTTCACACACGTAGCACACAACAGAAGATAGTTTGTGTCAGTTACATTCTGACCTACTGAAAATACTCTATTTGGTTTATGTGACAGGGGTAGAGTGAGCAGAAGGTGGGACATGACGCGGTCCCGCACCCGGTTTTTAATTTTGTTATAAACAGTCAAGTCTCTTGTTGTACCTTAAATTTGTCTGACAAGTCTGGCGCCAGCTCTTAGCGGCAGAACATGTCGAATCTTGTCATGTCTCCAGTTAGATATTTTCATTGGTGTCTTCATTGTGGAGGACCGTTTTTCTTCCGGTTTCATGACAGTCAAGTCAGTCAAGTCAGTCAAGATAGAGCGTCATCAACATGCCCACTAGTTGCCAAATGTGCCAGACTACACGGTGCTCCTTTCTCACATGGGCTCACTCAGATTTCACATGGACTGTGTACTAAGGAGCTGTAAAGTCAGCTTAGTGTCCGGATTGACTGCCTCGGACATTTGTGTTCTCACATATAGCTCCTCTGGGAAATGTCTAGATAATTTCAGGGTTCCAGTGCATATGTGTAAAGGGTTCATGCTTATTGGGACACTGGCAACACACTCTGCATCTGTGTTGCGGCATCCCTACAATCAGGCAGCAGATTTGATTCACACCGGCCTCCCGCTGCACTCCTCCTAATTTCCGGTTTTCAGGGCGACCTCTGATGATGTCATGAGAGACAAGGATATCTACTCCCATTGTGGTACTTGATTGGATCATTTTATCAGCATGTAAATCAAGTCGATGGGGCCCTGAATTGCACTGACCTAATTATGCCAAACACATTACTCACTAGCAGTGATGGCGCCTTGGAAGGATAAAATCTGAGAAATAAAGCCAGACAGACAGAAAGGGAAAGAAGAATGCAGGGTTGTTGGGGCACACAGTGGAAAAAATGCTAAGATACAGCAGAAGCAGAGAGAGAACAAAATGATAGTGATGGTAAGGAATAGTATGAAGAAGCAGGCAAGGAAAAAAGCTCTAAAAGAGAACCAGATGGATAGAAAAAGGAACAGACATGGGTAAATGGTGCATAATGCCAGCCAGAAGAGAGAGAGAGAAAGAGGAATATAGACTTCCACAGTGAGCCCATTGATAAATGACATGCATTATGTGATGTGTTGGCTTGTTTGATATAAGGGACCTTTTAATAGCATCTAAATGCTGGCTAAGGGGCTTCAGTGCTCCTGAGGCTCAGTATGCATGTGATAAGTGTGGTTATTGATGGAGAGTTGCGCTGACACATAAACAGCCTAATGGTTCCCAGATCATCATTTGTGCATTCAGTGTGCCCAGGACAGCAGTGTTTGTTTGTGCTTGTTGTGTTTCTTTTTTTACATTATCCTTGCACAGGTGGGGAGATAACAAAAGGAAAGGCTGAGGATTCTGGGTACTTGTGGATGGAGGCTAGTTGTGGTTGAAAAACTAGAGAACATAAAACCATTTGGGGCCTGCTGAAGAGGCGATTGGTGGGATGCAGAGAACTGGCTAGTCTCACTGTGCTTGAAATGTTACACCTCTGTGTTGCTTTGCCCAACTTGCCTTTCTTTTCTCCTCTTGAAAATCACTCCACTTACCATCTAGGGTGATATGTTTTGGGTCCTGTTTGGCTGTCAATTAGCTTGCAGGATATCTCAGAACCTGAATGAGTTAATGCAAATTAGATAGTAAATTTGTTCTGTGTGTAATTTTCGCCATCATGTTGTCATTTATAAAACACTTTTGAATAGCAATTTCTCAACAAGAAGGCATGCTGCACAGTTAGGGTTCCAACAGGCCATTTCCATTTCTGCCACAAATGTTCTGTAATTTGAATTTTTCAGTTCATTTATT